AAAAAAAAAAAAAAAAAAAAAAAAAAAAAAAAAAAAAACAAACAAAAAAAAACAAACTATGACCCGTATCTTGTACAATTCACTTGCCATTGAGTTTAGAAATACATAATTCAATAAATAATTGTTTTTTTTTTCGACAACGCGTTCACCATGAATGCTGAGTGGCTGTATCGTGGCAGAGAGTCCCCCGTGATAGAGAGTCCGCTTCCCATTCATTTGTACAGGTAAACCTCGCCCTAGATTATGACCGATTTAGGTCAGGCTAACCCTAACCATTATAACTAAATGGAGGGCGGACTTTCTGTTACAGTTTTCCTCAGTTTCGTTACACCTGGTGTATTTTCCTCTTCGTGTGTCGCTGTGTCGCTGTCTTGGTAATTTGAACCCAGGTAGTACACATAAGTAACGCCTGGATACAAGAAGTCATGAAAGTTCTTGAATTCTTCCTGAGTAACAAACCCTGTGTAAAAATTAACAGCTTCTGATTTCTTTTTCCATAATTTCATGCTAAAAGTGTTTTCTGTCTTTTATTATCTTAATTTTTTTCGGATCTTCATAATGTTCTTTCCACATATCGTTTTCTCCTAGATTCTTTTTTGTCTGTTGTCCGCTATTACTTAAGATTCTTGAATTTCTCTGAAAATTCTTTTTGAAGATCGTGCACTTTTCCCTCCATTTTATTAATAATCCCAGTATTTTTTAATCAAAGATTTTAGCATTTTGTTAGTATCTGAATATTACGTACAGAAGGAAAGGTCATCGTGACGTCCGACGTCTCTTTTTGCATTTTTAGACATCTGATATTCATGATCACTGACACGCAACGGTTATCTTGTCAAAGTCCCCCCTCTCCAAATTAACTATACTTTTTTATTGAAACATCGTTGGTCTTTTAATAATATAGATTTCTTCCCGCCTTCAAAATGTTACGTGCCCTGTTCTTGGCCCAAACCTGCTAAACTTCACTTTCTTTCGGGGTCTTCCGATGTTGTCTACCCGTATTTGTCATTCTGGCAGGTCCGTTGGGAACTTATAAAATTCCAAGTGTCGATATCGCTTATTTTTATTGTACAATGTAGCAGTGTTGAACAAAGGCCCTGTTTCCAAACTGTCATATATATAAACCCAACTTCCAGTCTCTCACGCGGACCGGGTATAGGCCCTATAGGCCCCTACATCTAGCCTCATATATATATATATATATATATATATATATATATATATATATAAGAACAAGCACTCACTGTTTGAAAAATGTCTTTTTTGAGTGGAACAATTTAACTGCTGTTACATCACCCCCTCCACCCCCCAAACACGTACACACAGCAACACACTATTTCAAATGATTTATAAATGGAAAGCTCCCAACCACATTATTTTTAACCACATTAAGTTTTCTTAGAAATCCCCCTCCCCCCCTTCCTAGAAACCTGTACATTTTACGTTATAAGTATTTGGAGGCCTTAACTTGTAGTAATAAGCTTTTAAGCACTGATAAGTTTAAAATGTAATTTTTGAATAGGAAAATTAAGTTTCTGTAGCACACACACTATTTGAAAATATTTAATATACATGTACCCCCCCCCCCCCCCAGCTTCACAGCATTTTAGAGTCTGGCAAGTTGATTGTGGAGTCGGGCATGTAGGTTTTCAGACCTATACTTGCCCATCGCACAAGTGCCTCAATAAGTTGATGTCGAGCCTGCCCAGTATGCACGGTAGGCCTAATTCTCTCACGAATAGCCCACACAACCCCATTATAATTTCAGGCTCTTACGTATCTATAGGCGATACCCCTGTATACTTCCAAGCTCTTACGTACGTTACCCTTTAACTATTTCTAAGTACTGTCATACCATTATCAGAACCAGTTACTACACATTTACAAGTAGTCACAACTAAGTCCATATCTTCTATCCTAAAGAAAAGATAAAAAAGTAAAATATATTTGTAACAAGCCTTCATTTTAACTTTAATCTTATAATTCAATATTTGACACAACCATGGAACTTTCTTTCACTCACGTTCGTCAGCTTGCGGCCAACCTGGTCGGATAAATTTTCCAGGTTGTGTCAAATAATTTCATGATTGAGATTCAAATATAAGCTAATAAAGATTATTTTGCTCATTTAGAATAGTTTGTAATATATGTTTACATGGTTTTGATAGAAAGATTTTGACTTTGTATTATATTATACTCATTTATTAATTATACATTGTAGGGGCCTACAGTGTTGAGATGCATGTAAAATCTATTATTTTAATGCCACTACCGATGGTAGCTATTACTACTACTACTACTACTACTACTTACTCAGTAATAACTCAGAAAAGTTTTGGATGATTTTTTTGTGATGAAATTTTCGGGATAGGTCCAAAATGGGATATAACCATTTATATGTGCCATTATAACTAGGCCTACTAATGTTCATTAATATGATGTCATCCATTTAACCAGTCATAAAATTAATTAAAAAATTAAAGGTGATGTGAATTATTAAATAATCAGTTGATCAATAATAATGTATTATTGATAAGGATAACTGAGTTGATGATTCTTAACTACGATCGAAGTAATAATACCGGAAATTTTAAAAGTGAGATGAGTAACCTAGCTAGGCGGTTGTCAGCACTCGATCTCTTTGTGCTTCTCTAGCTAGGTTTAGGTTTAAATAACTCAGTGATCTTTTGCACCAAAGACCCTTTCAGTGGCGGATTTGGGCCATATTATATCTCACTTTATACATTATTGAGTGCTTTAAAAAATGCTACATATACATTTTACACACTTTCTCTCTCTCTCTCTCTCTCTCGACTCGCGGGTACATGCAATTCATGCACAGGTCTACGTTTTTTAAATTAATAAATTCTTTTTTCATCACTCATTTAGTTATCCACCTATTATAAATTCAGTCATTTATTTAGATAATCAATTTGCGAATGAAA